AAATTATAAATAAATTTTAATGAAATCCTGATTTTTGAAATTTAAAATCTCAAACCTTAATTTTGAAATGGTGATACTTAAATACCTTATTTATGTCTTGTTCCCTTAAAAATATAGGTAAATTGGTTGTAGCCCACTGTTCAAGCCCAGTAGCCCAATTGAAACCCAATTAATTCCTAAAACCTTTCACGGTTTCACCCATATATTTTCATTTTTCAAGTTTTACAGTTTATGGTTTGAGGTTTCCAATTCGGTGACGGCGACAGCATTTCCATTTCACCTTCACTTTCAGCCAATCAGCCTTCAAAATTTTAGACCACCGCCATCTGCCGAAGTCTTCTTCTTCAGCGCGGTTTGAGCCTTGAGGTTTCAGAACTTTCAATTTTTGAATTTCACTATCGGTCCTTCACGGCTTCATCGTTCTTCAGCAAAAACAATCACTAATCAGCCGATCGGCCCGCCTCGGCCCTTTGTTTGACTGTCTCTGTTCACCTTTTTCAGCAATCAGCAGCCAACCCTTCAGGTAATTGAAAATCCATATTGACAAGTACTACAATTTTATTTTATGATTTTCTTGGGTTATTTTTGAAATTGTTTTAGACTCTAATTGCTTGTTCAATTTGTTTATTTTTTGCAAATTTAAACTCAATTCGATGTATTTTAATGATTTTTATTTAACTGTGATTGAGTGAAAATTGAGGATAAAAGTTGTGATTTAGTTATTTACTCATTTAGCTGTGATTTTTATTTGTTCACATGTGATGCTGTGATGATAGACATTTGGAATTGTCAATGTGCCTTAATTTTTTTTGGAGAATTGTCAATGCTTGACAAAATTGGGTATTGATGGATATGTATATCTTTGTATGTAGAAGTAGAGATAATCATGCTAAATTTTCTAGTTTTGTCTTGGTGACGATGCTTGAATGGCGTATTAAAGATTGTGCTAAATTAGGAATTTATTTAGGAAATGTTAGTTTGGGAATTTAGCCATGTTACATTTTCAAAATGAGAGCTTTGTGCTTATTACATATGATACAATGATAAGAATTTTATAGGATATTGAAATATTTTGATATTTATACTTTTAGGTTTAATATGGAAGAAGATCGAACTTCTTCCAAAGAGCAACAAATATCAGGGTACGCTAATTCTTACGACGTCCACTCCAAATCCAATTTTATTTCTTGAAGTTGAACGGCCTTCATCTTCTAATCTTAATTTGGAACCATTTGATTCTATTAAACATGACTCAGAAAAAAGAAAGCAAATATGTGAACATTCATTTAATGAACGCAATCAGATTAGGTGAGCCTATCTAAATGGTGATCCCTATCAACCAAAACTTTTGGAGTATCAGAGTAAAGAATGTGGAAAGCAGAAACATCGATTTCAGGAGCGTTGGTACAATTAGTTTCCTTGGTTGAAATATTTACCTTCAACACATAAGGCATATTGT